GACTGAGGGAAGGAGAAAGTAGATGCTGGGGAATGTCTTGTTTATGTGGTGGGAACTAGAATGAGGCTACTGTAGAGGTTAGGGAGAACTATAGCAATTAATATCACTTTTTTATGCTGTTATTCTAGATATCACACAGACCAGTATGCCATGGGTGCTGCATACCATTGAGGATAGCCTAATGACTAACAGCCTTGTGGTCAGTAATATTGGTGCTGATTTTTGTTTTTTTGTCTTTCATGAAGGAACTTGTCTGTGCAGATAATTTGGCTGTACTGGGCTATCCAAGGAGAATTAAGATCCTGCTGTAAAACTGGATAAAGACTACCGGTCATGGTTGACTTCTGTTTTGGCTGGATCCAGGATGTTGAATGAATTACCTCCTGGGCTGTTGCAAAGTCTTGAATAGGACTGTCCTGGTCATGGCAAAAGGAGTAGTAGACTTTGGAGAGAAGAGACAAAATATGTTCTTGGAATTTGTTTGGTTTCTTTGACTTTCCCTCAGTATATTTTTAGAAAGAGTTAGCTAAGTCAAGCAGAAGTCAGAACAGACTGGCACCATTGAGTAACTGGTTTTGAGACATATAAGCTTTTGTGGGTAACAACCTACTTCATCAGATGCCAGTGCTGTATCCCCCTATCTTTTGTATTAAAGTCATTTATTCATATAAAAGTCATAGATTTCATAGATGTTAGGGTTAGAAGGGACCTTACAAGATCATTGGGTCCAAACCCCTGCCCAAAATGAGGGTTGGAAGAGACATCAGGGACATCAGATATCATTTAGTCCAACTCCCTGCTCAAAGCAGGACCATTCCCAACTATATCATCCCAGCCAAGCTTTTTTTACCCAGGTCTTAACAACCTCAAAGGATGGAGATTCTACAACCTCTCTGGGTAATCTGTTCCCCTCCTACTGAGAGAATTTTTTCCCCTAATATCTAACCTAAACTGCCTCTGCTGCAACTTGAGACCATTGCTCCTTGTTCTGTCACCTGCCACCACTGAGAACAGTCTCACCGCATTCTCTTTGTAACAACCCTTTAGGTAGTTGAGGATTGCTATTAAGTGCACCCCTCAGTCTTCTCTTCTGCAGAATAAATAAGCCCAGCTCCCTCAACCTCTCCTTATAAATCATGTTCCCCCATCCCTCCAACCATTTTCTTTGCCATCTGCTGGACTCTCTCCAATTGTTTTCACATCTATTTTGGGCTGGGAGGGGGGTGGGTGGAGGGGAACAACCCTAAGTGTAGGACTTTGCACTTGTCCTTATTGAACTTCATGACATTTCTTTTGGTCCTATTCTCCAATTTGTCTAAGTCACTCTGAATCCTAGCCTTACCCTTCAGCATATCTACTACTAGTTCTCTGCTTGATATCATCTGTGAACATGCTGAGGGTGCATGGTCTTTTAGATTGTTGATGAAGCTACTGAACAAAACTGGCCCTAGTGTAGGAAGAAACTTTTTTTTTTTGCCTGCCCCCACTCCAATGTGAAGCTCCTCCATATGGCAAAAGCCCCTTTTGCAGTATTTGCCCCTTTTGGGGATGCTTTCTCTTTTCTATCTTTTCTTCCTTCCTCCCTCTCCTTTTATTATATTATTATTTTTATAGAATATAAGGTGTACTATTTACTATATATTTTTAATAAAAATATAGTTTGTAGATGCTTTTATGGGTATAAAATAGTATTCTGCATCAATATGCCCCACCTCCCTGCCATTGTATTTGGTCTATTTGTTGTATGTGCCATGGCATTTCACCCTTTTATGTTTTATATTCTATGTTTCTTAACTTTGTAACAAATGTACTTTTAAGTTTAAAAGTAAGTTGTACCATGTAACAACGTTAGCAAGGACGGGAATCCAACCACTGCTTCTCTGTATTGAGCGGGTCCCTGAAAGAATCTAGATTGATTGTGTAACACAGTAGCTAGCCAGGATAACAAGTTAATGAGTGGCAATTAACACCTAGGAAACCACAGATTAACAAGAGGAAAGGATCAATACAGAGCCAGGAACTTCCTGAAACTTCACTGTTAAAGGTACAGAAACTCCTGTTTGAACTAATCAATGCCGAAGACCAACTCTTGGGACTGAATACCCGCCCCCACCTCCGATCAACTGCCCCCAGAGCCCTATTCATCACGGCAGTGAATTAATCAAACTTGATCAACGGACTCCTGAGACTGCACGTACCTGCGGACGTGACCCCTGGGGCTGACAGCTGCCATCCAGCAACCACCAAGGAGGACATCCCATGAGGTCAATGACTCCTGGATTGGGTAAGCCCAAAAACTGGGGAGTCACCAAAGTCTGCCAGAGAAGGATAAAAGGCAGTGAAGAATGACCCCCAATGGTGCTCTCTTTGACCTGACCAGCACCCTGCCTGCCCAGCCCGAAGGACCAGCTGACGACCCCCTTCTGAAGCAACATTGCACTGAAAGAAGCTTCAACTGGTCACTGATGGTGGACTCGAACGCTTGGGGATAGGTATATCTTGACACCGGTGCTTAGTGTTCATAGCTAGCTACTGTGAGTGTGTGCATGCGTGAATGTGTGTGTATTTGAGGGGATCAGCTCCAAGATTTATGATCTGACTTTTGCATCTGTCTAATAAAGTAGAATTTTATGATGATCCTGCGAGTTGGTCCTTTGTAGCCAACACTAGGATCAACCTCTGAAGCACTCACTTGATACCGGCTGCCAACTAGACATTGAGCCATTGACTACTACCCTCTGAGCCCAAAGATCCAGCAAGTTTTCTAACCACCTTACTGTCCATTCATCCTGCTGGAGCCCCCCAGCTGTGCCGGAACCCCTCACTCCCCACCCACAGCCCCCTGCCCCTCAGCCCTGCTGGGCTGGGGGGAGGGGCAGGTGCCAGGGCTACGGGACCAGGGACTAGGAGGCAGCAGCTGATACAGCGGAGTGGAGTGTGGAGCCTGGCTCCCCGTCTCCGATGGGCAACACAATCATAGCAGAGCCATCTGCGGGCTCCCTGCCCTGCTGCCCTCCCCCCAGCACCTCTGCAGCTCAGTGGGCAGGACTCAGTGCAGCACGACAGAGCAGGGCAGAGAGAGGCTGGACAGGGAAGCTCGTTGCTGTTACTGGGAGCTCCACACTGCTGTAGCCAGGCATCTCTGTTCACCCAGCAGTGAGGGGCACAACGCCACGCTGCTGCCCCCACTGCTGCTGGGTGGACAGGGAGTACTTTGCCATCATGGTGCAGGGCTTGTGGTGGTGGCATCAAGCCTCCACGTTCCACTCTGCCCTGCCTTACCAGGTCCCACCTGCTGGGCTGCAAAGGCCCTGGGGGGAGGGCAGCAGGGTGGGGAGCGCAAGCCTGCAGTGGACAGCCTGCCCCCGGCTTCTGCACAAATCTAGGGAGCACATACTCCCAATGTTCCCCTGGGAATGTGTGCAGTGACAGGGAGACAGCTGTCTGCGGCCCTGTCCCACTCTTCACTCAGGCCCTGCAACCATGCATTCTGGTCGCATGCCCCATGCACCATCCCAGATAGGCAGCAGCCCCAGCCGTACCCAACTGCCTCCTTCCTTCATTATAGAGACCTCAATTCCCCACTGCACCACAAGACTTACCTGCGGGGAGCTGCTCTCCAGGCAGCTTGGCCATGTACATGTGTATGTGTACACATGCACGTGGTGCCCCCTGCTGTCCACCCTTCTCCTGCTCCCCCCAGCCCTTTATAGTCTAGAACTCTGCCAGCCTGCAAGGGGAAACCCACCATTCCCCACATTTTTCTTCTTTAAAGGACAATTCTGGGTTTTTCTCCTTAAAATGAGAAAATCTGGGTTTTACCATGTTTTTTCATGGCAAATGAAAAACCCAGATCTCCCCATAGTGTGCTAGTTGCACTCGTCGTCCCTAGCTCACATTCATTTAATGGAGTAGTGGGATCTTGTCCTTAATCCCAACAATTGTACCTCCTGCCATGCCAGATACGCATGGTAGGACATGCAATTTTGGGATCGAATTGCAATGGCACTATTACTATTTGCCAGTGCAAGGGGACAGTGCCAATTGAAAGTTGGCTTTGAGACTCCCATGTAGTCCCAGCCCTGGGACTGAAAACTGTAGGTCCCAGCCCCAAGACCGAGCTGGGGCTGGGACTGGTTCAAGACTCTGGTGCAGCCCCAGGGCTGGGACAATCAGTTGATTGTGGGTCCTGGCCCTGGAGCCAGTTTGACTCCTGTGTGGTCCTGGTGCTGGGTTTGAGAATCAGCTGAGTCTTGAGCCAGTTCTGGTTACCCTGCCATATGCTACATATAGATATGTATGTTACACATCTTTTGCAGTATATTTTTGTGGCTGGTTTCCTGTTTTGTCATGCCATTAATTTGTTGAACATATGGCAGGGTTACTATTTATGGTGTGATTAACAGGTTAATCGTGTCTGATTGTAATGTCTGCCAGAGGCCATAGTAATGGAACCCAAGTATACCGACTCTTGTTCTGTCCACTAGGCACAATGCCTCTTACTGTCTTCAGTTCATCAACAATACTGTGTGTTTGGTTGTGGGAATGGAACGGAAAGAGTAAAATGTAAACAAATGCCCCATTGAGAATCTTGCAGATTAGTGTGACATAACTGCTATAGATCCATCAAATTGAAGAAAGACTACAAATCCCCAAGGACAGTGGTCATCTCTGATTGAAAGTGCCTATTTGGGAACCCTCAGGTCTTTTTCTACAGTCTGTAGTGGTTAGCACCTGCTTGAGAAATGTCCTCTATAAATAATACATTTCTGTTTCAGACAATATTTACATTGAAAATTACCCTCACGCAGCTGGACGTTCTTTCTAGAAACTCAAATCTGCAGTTGCTATTCAAATAAAGGAGCTGGGGTATTCTTGGGGAGGGCCTTGTGATGAAAATCCTTGTTATTTAATGTGATCTTTCAAAGAGGAATTTTGAAAAATAGTTAGCTGCTGTCGCTAGCAATTCTTACTAAGACTCATGCAAAGTGACACATGAGGAAGTCCTTCTTACTTTTCTTGCCCTTACTTTTTGACCATTTCTGTTTATTGATCCTGATGGCTCAACATTGCTTCCAAAATGAATATTTTGATAGCTTGCTGCAGTCCTGTAAGCCGTGTCACCTTCGATGCTCCAGTAAGCCACCTTTTTCATGTCAGAACTATTGTAATGAGAGTAAGTAATATTTCTGCAATACTTTGTTGTGCATTTTTACATTGTTTGTTGCATTGATCTTAAATATGAAAATATGATCTGACCAAGTGAAGACATATACAAAGTATCCTGTATTTGAACTGAACTATATTAGCACAAGTAAATGTTTCAAACTACTGAGCCATCACTCAGCAAATTACTCTTGACAGATGTGAAAGGATTCATATATTAGGTCATGTACTTATTCTTTATTGCTTCTATTTTTAATTTATATAATGTCTACTTTATTTTGAAGGTGCTGCAGACCCAGTGAAATTATCACATGGAATTATTTGGATCTGTTTAGGCATAGGAATACTTTTAGCATTCGCAGTGTTTGTATTAATGGTCCTATTTAAAAGAAGGTACTCAAAGCCATCAAAGGAAGAAATGAAAAGTACAGGTATGAAATATTTCAGATTATTAAGAACTTCAACTATGCTCTTCAAATATATAGATTTTGGGTGTGGCATACATTGCCAGAATCAGATATCTTTACTAAAATCGAATAGCGCCCAATTCCACAAACAGTCCCACTGAAGTCAAAGGGACTAATCGTGGAGTAAAGTGCTTCCAAGCATGAGTCAAGATATCAGACTATTTCCAATAAAAATCTGTAACCCTCAGCTCTTTTGTTACACACATGCTTGGTTTTGCACTCCAGAACATATTTTCAACCATCTTATTACTATGTTGGTAAACCACCTCTATGATTTTCTTTATCAAGTGCTTAATCTTCTCATTGGATTTTACCTGAGTCAAGAATAAAAACTGAAGATTAGCCTCCCACCTTGTAAAGGGTTAATTGATTTGTTTTAAATCTGTAATGCTTCAGAATCATGCATATGATGTCTTTTGCCTTTGGTAGTAAAGAATTCAGTAAGTTTTTGCACTTTTTGTACTCATTAATATTTACAGCAAAGCTGCTTCTACTAATATACATTAATTAGTAAATACAGTTAGTAAATACAGACATTTGAATTCTTACTGAGTATATGGCACATACTTAAATACCCCACCATACTTTTACAGAATCTTCCATGGAGCTAAATATTATACTCCAGACTGACACTGAGAGCTGTGTGAATGCAGATGGAATTGGGGAGACACTCCAAAGTGAATCATCACTCATGTATTCAGTACAGGAATGCACTTGTATGGATTGTAACTTGGTGAAACCCCAAACTGGCTTTGATATCTCTTTCCCATTACCAGTCACAGAGGAAGGAGCTGCTGTTTTAGTTACTACAAAGACTTCTGATTGTTGCAGCTATCTTCCAGGTGTTGTACAACTGCGATAGGGAGAAAAAAGTTTTTACTGCATACAGTGAATCAGTTCATAGTGTAATATAGAAATAATATAGTTATACTCATAAATCTTATTACTGGCAGTTACTGGGGAAGATTAGTACATCCGGTTTCCTTGTACCTCTTGTATTTCACTTTCATTGCTTTTGTTATATCGCTTCTAATTTTAGCTTATTTTTATATGTATATTTTTACATTATTCCTTGAAGCCAGGGTATTTACTAGAATTTATAAGCTATAACAATCTCTGTGTGGGATGAATGTTTTTGCACTAGCATTTACAGACTATATTTACTTAGTCAAAGGGCTGGATGCACACAATTGATATCAATAAACAAGTTTATATATATTTTATATAAAAAATATTGTATCAAACTGTTGGTTGTAGTACGAAAACAAGTGTACAAAAGAGAGCATATATGTTATATGTCATGGATAGACTCTTAGGACAAAAATTGCTTCAGATCTAGGTTTTAAGACTTTGGGCACAGCACAGTGGGGAATGCTTGAAATTGGAAATGCTTTTATGATACATGCATTTAGAGAATATGCAGTGAGAACTACTTAAGACACCACCTGTGAACCCCACTACAGGTGGATGTGATGCCGCAGAGCCTTGAATTGCCAACACATTTTCTTATGGTGGGCGTTTTCATTTATAGACCAAGTCTTGTTGAAGTACAAGGATGCAAAAAGTTATTTGTACTACAAGGTATTTACAAGTATTGTCAACTAGGTAGTAGCATAACAGTTTTCCAATTTTGGCACAAAAGATATGAATCTTCATCCATGTTTAGGTACCTAAGAAGTGTCCTGATTTTCATAGATGATGAGCACCTCAGCTCCTACTGAAGCCAGTAAAAGCTATGGGTGTACAACCAGCACCCTCTCTGTACTACAAGACAATTTCCAACCAAGGACTTCAAAATGAATAAGCAATTATGAATGAATTAGACTTCATAACACAAGAATAACTCACATATAAAATATGTGAAAACTGAAACACAGAATTAAAGATTTTAAATAACTTGACAAATATAATAGATCATGTCTAACATTTACGCCATATATTTGGGTGTTTCATTGTGGAGTCAGTTGCCTGACTTTAGCTACACTAGTCTGAAGACTTTGGCCTAAGTTTATATAGCGCTTAAAGCACTATTATTTGTATGACTGGTACTAACCTAAGAGCCCTAGTCATGGCCCAAGACTCCACTGTGATGGTCCATGTCCCCAGATACCGTCTATAAATGTTTCTGTGACTACAGCTGTATTGATTTTCAGTCTTGCATTGGACCTTGCCCGAATACATGTCCTTGCATCCAGGTATGGCTGTAACCCTCAGCTGAGTTCATTAATATGAAGAACATTGCTTTTGATTATTTTGTCAACTAGCTTTCCCAGCTCTCAGAGACATTGGTGCACTGTTCCTATTTCACGACACAGAAGTTTAGATTTTTATTTTCATTTTGTGCCCAAAATCTGTTCATTTTGCCTTAACAGGTGCGGTTTCTTCTCTTTCTTTTCTTGAAGGTGCAGATCTTAGATTTGAAACAACACTTACACAAAGAACCAGTGAAGGGAAGGTTGTTTCTTGCCGCATATGCCCAGGTGGAGGTCAGTTGCCAGCATTCATGACTGATGTTTCTAGGACAGTGGTTCCCATTCTTTCCTGACCCGAGGCACCTGGCCACAACTTGTGTGAGCTGAGAGCATAGGCGATGTGTAGGGGGGACATGGGGGGGCATGTGCCCCCCCTAAGACGGGCCGCTGCTGAAGCCGCCCTCAGCTTCTGTGGGCAGACGCCGCTCGCTACCTGCCTCCCTCCCCCTCACTGCCAACACCGCCTCTGGTGTCTGCAGGTGGTCCCTGCTTGCTGACACCAACGCCGGCATCTGTGGGCAGTCATCACTTGCTGTTTCTTGCCGCTGACACCAACGTCTGCGGGCGGTCCTTGCTTGCTGCTGCTGACACAAACACCGGCATCTGCAGGTGGTCCTTGCATGCTGCTGACGACACTGATACCTGTAGGTGGTCCCTGCTCTCCGACACCGGCATCTGCGGGCAGTCATAGTATCATAGCGCTTAGGGTCGGAAGGGACCTAAACAGATCATCAGGTCTGAGCCCTTGCCCCGGGCAGGAAGGGGTGCCAGGGTCATATCACCCCAGCCAAATATCTGTTGCCTCCTCTTGAAGACCCCCAACGTAGGAGAGAGCACCACCTCCCCTGGAAGCCCATTCCAGAGCCTGACAGCCTTAACTGTAAAGTAATGTCTCCTGATGTCCAGCCTGAACTTTCTAACAATTTGTGGCCATTATGCCTAGTAACCCCGGGTGGTGCCCGGGGGAATAGAGCCTCCTCCAGTTCCTGCTGGTCCGCTCTGGTGAGTTTGTAAACGGCCACCAGATTGCCTCTCAGCCTTCTCTTGTGGAGGCTGAAAAGGTTCAGGGCCTTTGGCCCCTCCCCACAGGGCCTGCCCCACTGCCCCTTGACCATGTGAGTGGCCCTCCTCTGGACCCTCTCAATGATAGCCACATCCCTCTTGAAGTGCGATGCCCAGAACTGGACGCAGTACTCCAACTGCGGCCTGACCAGCGCTGCACAGAGGGGAAGGATCACCTCCTTGGACCTGCCTGAGATGCATCTGTAGATGGAGGACAAGGGGTGGTTAGCCTTACTGACTGCTTCCTCGTATTGGCGGCTCATGCTCATCCTGGAGTCAATGATGACTCCAAGATCCCTTTCTGCCTCTTTGTTGACAAGAAGGGTGCTCCCCAGCCTGTGGGTGTGTCGCTGGCTCCTTCTCCCTAGATGCAGCCCCTTGCACTTGTCTGCATTGAATTCCATCCCGTTCTCATCCGCCCACCTCCGTCTGCGCTTGCCACTGCCGACACTGACACCGATGCCGACATCTGCAGCTCGTCCCGCCATGGTGCCCCCATCTCAGGAGGCACCAGTCGTTCATGGCCGAGGCACCCGGTCCGTCTGTGCCCCGGGCAGGGCTGCCAACTCTGAATCTATTTCGGGAGGTTTCATCCCACGACGTCATGACATGAACGACTTTACATCAGGAAGGCAAATACACAAAACTATTACATTTAAAAAACCCCACTGGACTCCTGTATGCATCGGATTCAACACTGAATGCTGATTTTAACAGCCGCCCTAGCACTGCTCTCAGCATCTCCTGGAGATGTACAGCTCCTTCCCGGACACTGTAGGGGGGCCGGCATTGGCGACCCCGGCCTCGGGCAGCAGCGGCACCCGGATGCGCCCCTGAGGGGAGCAGGCGCCTTCCCGCGGGCGGGCGGCAGGCCCCGGCGCGGCGGGGCGCGGTGTTTACCTTCC